GGGTTCTCGAGTGGATGACAGGAAATGTTCATCATGAAGCCAAAGCTCGTGACATCATTGAGCTTCCAGGCCTATCCACTCCTGGAGAGCTATATGAACCTGGTTGTCAAAACCACCGCAATGCACTGGAGAGCATCTTCCATAAGCCTGAACCCAATATGAGCCAGATGTTGAGCATGATGAAGCCTTTGCCACGTGATGCTGAATATCCCAAGGAGTTCTTTGTTGATGACCTTGAGTATCTGCCGCGCATTATATATCATATCATCAGGCGGACTCTATGGCCAATCAAAGGACATTCATCAGCTGCAAAACTTGAAGGAGCCATGAAGACATTGGTCTTTTACATCCTCAATGGCATCAACTTCAATGCACATGATTTCTTCATCAGGCAACTGGCTGCATCTGGATCTAACCTTTTCGGACTGAAGTTCTATGCTCCATGGGTCATGTGCCTCATCAAGCAACACTCTGCTGTCAACTATCAACCATCTGCTCGCAATCATGTGATCTTCCTACCAGAGGTTGATATGTCAGTTGAAGCCATATACCCTGAACCTGCCAAGAAGCCTCTTTGTCTTCAAAATGCTGAACATCAAAGCTTCACTCAGCCTATGGAAGGAGTTCAAGCTGTCACGCGTGTCTATCCGATGGCTGGAAATACTCGTCTGCCTCATCGTGCGCCAACTGAAGCTACTGAGAGAACAGTTGCTCAAAGGCCTCGGAAGCGCTCTCGGGTCCTCAATGACCGAGAACTTCTTATGGCCCTGCATAAGAAGCAAGATAAGCATCATTTTTGGCTCAAGCGTCAGATGCAAAGCCTCTTGGTGGATGTAAATCGCATTCGAAACCTTGCCACCAAGAATGCATTTGTCACTCACGAAACTTGTCGGCGATCATGGAAGAGTTTGATCCTGCTTAGTGCTGAAGCTGATCTTCAAGACGATGGCTTCACTGAAAGATTCAAGTTTGACTCCACTCCTCCATGGAATGCTGTCCTACGAAGAACTCCATCTCTTGAAGACTCTGACTATTCTTCCTCCGCGACAATGGTCAATGCCAATGTGATCGATGCCGAAGACGATGCTACTTCACCACCCCCTACATCTGCACGCATCGACACTGCACCAAGTTCGTCTGCACCGCCAAACGACAACGACAACCCTACTGCTTCAACTACTCCTCCTGAGGACGAGTAGATGCTCTATGTCTTCAAACCTTTTTGGTCAGTACTGACAAAAGGGGGAGAAGCGTATGAGTTTGATAGTCTTCAAGCGGGTTCATAAGGGCGGTTGCTTTATATTTTTGCCTAGTGCCTACAACTCTTGCTTTTGATACACTTCGTCCTTTGAGTTGTAGCACTTAAACTTGATGGTCGTCTGCTACTTATTTGCATTTCCACGTGCGATGATAACTTCTGCACTTAGATCATTCTACAGACGTCCATTTTTCATTATGCATGTCATTCTCTTAGCTATATCATTTCATGCATGATGAATTATCTTCATAAGTTGAAGAGGATCTCCACAAGTACAACCTGCTATGTGCATTTGCATTCCAAAAGCAAATTATTTATATGCACATCTTCAGGGGGAGCCCTTGCCACTTATGAAGACAATACGCTATCCTTTACAATTTCACATACTTCTTTCCCGTTGAAAACTTCAACTAGTTTGTCATCAATCACCAAAAAGGGGGAGATTGTAAGTGCATCTAGTGCCACCCCTAGTTGGTTTTGGAGTATTGACGACAAAGTTGGTTGAGGGACTAATGCGTTTGTGAGAATTGCAGGATAACGCAGGTAGTGTCCCTCATTGATTCGGTTTACCTACCGGAGATGACCCCTAAAAATGTATGAAGACATTGAAGACAATGGTGGTGTGTGAAGATATTCACACTGAAGTCTATGACATAAGAAGACATTGAGTGAAGACTATGGAGCGCGAAGACTGAGTTGTTTTGTTGTTTCCTTTTCTTCTTTGTTGAGTCATAGGAACCACCGTATTGTTAAGTGGGGTCCAAGTGAACTAAGTCAGAGTGACTGAAGTGATGCTCAACACAAATCCTATGTCTTCGAGCGAAGACAATGAGAGCAAATCTTATCCAGAGCTGGATGAGTCAGCTTTGCTTGTAGCCCAAGTAAAGTTGTCGTGTGTGTTTGAAATCTGACCGTTGGAACACGTGTCAGTTCCTTAGTGACCCAGGGTCATTTCGGACATATCAGGTCGGGGTGCCTTGTGGCTATAAATAGCCCACCCCCTACACCATAAATTGGTGGCTGCTCAGAGTTAGTTTACGGCTTTTGTCGTTTTGAGAGCAACCCACCTCGAAGCCTTTGAGAGAGAAATCCTTGCGAGGACAAAGCCCAAACACCCAGAGCCAAAGAGTGTTAGGCATCACTGAAGTCTTTCTGTCTGTGTGACCTGAAGACTTATTACACTTGAGGACTGTGTATCCTCCAGCCGGTTAGGCGTCGCGTTCTGAGCATCCAAGAGTCATTGTGGATTGCCGGTGAACGAAGTCTGTGAAGGTTCGGAAGTCTACCTTGAAGACTTACCAGAGTGGTTGGGCGAGGACTGTGTGTCCTTAGCTCAAGGGGAATAAGGTGAAGACGCGGTCTTCTGAGTTGAATCTCAGTCTCCCTAACCAGACGTACAGTTGTCACAGCAACTGGAACTGGTCCAACAAATCATGTGTCTTCAACAAGTGATTGGTTCTATCCCTTCCCTCCTTTACTTTGAGTTTGTCTTCGTGAAGTCATTGCTTATCTGTCTTATCTGTTTGACTTCATTGCTTGACTACTATTGTTGATTGGCTTCATACTATCTTCCATCCTGATCCTTACTACCTAGCTGCTATTAGTCTTCGTACGTTACCACTATTGCATACTTGACTATGGCTTGCTTTGTGTAGTTTATCTTCCGCTGCATATCAATTAGGTCATTTCTATTGTTTGTCTTTGAAACTTCCATGTTTTGAAGACTTTGATAAAAATTGCCTATTCACCCCCCCCCCCTCTAGTCGATAACTACCACTTTCACCCCTAGCCTTCTATCAGCGCGCTGGCGGCTCCCAGTCCTGGCAGTAGGTTGTCCAACTTCTCCCAGTCCTTCGCATTTGGACCTCCATCTCGGTTGGATCTAGGGTTGCTACTTTGTTCTGGTTTGACCGGGGGGCCGGCGACACCCCCTTCGCGGCGCGCTTCCCTGACCTCTTCTCCATTGCCGTCGACCCCCTGATCTCGGTTGAGAGGGCCCTTATTGACTTAGGGCGCCTCGCTTTCCGTAGGCCATTTGGGCCTCCGGATTCCGCCGCTTGTGGCAGCGGATTCGCGGACGGACCCCGTCCGGGGTCGAGGTCCGCAAGCGCAATGGCCCTGGTTCTGGCCTATGCCCTCTTTGCGGTGTCCCCGAAGACTCGAATCACATCTTCTTCTTGTGTGTGTCCGCTCAATTTATTTGGAGCTGCTTTAGGGAGGTGGTGGCTGGGAATTGGTGTCACACTAACTCCCCGACCTATTTGCCGAACTCCAGAACTCCCCCTTGCCCTCTCGCCACATTAGGTGGCTTGAGATTGGGGCGATCGTGTGGACTCTCTGGACGATCCGCAACAAGCTTGTGATACAGCGCACTCCTGTTTGACGGGCTACCCATGCTCTTTTCAAACTGTCTGGCTACTTGCAGCTTTGGCGGCCGCTTAGCCGCCCTCAGGACCGGGACGCCATCTCCGCCTTCATCGCCGACCTTCGTCGATGGCCGTCCGTCTGTCGCCGCCGCCCCTCCGCCAGCCCCGGAGCCAGACTAGACGCCTCACGTGCGCTCCGGCGCCCCTTTTTTTCTGTTTATTTGGGCTTGTTGAGCTGTGCCCTTAGCAGAACCCTCTGTACTCCCTCTTGTGTGACTTGGGTGTGTGTGTGTGTGTGAACTTGTCCATATATATGCGCTCTGTGGCGGTTTGCTTTGTTTATAAAGCAGGGTGAAAGCCTTTTCCGGTTAAACAATTATACTAGCTTGTGTGACAAAAGAGTGGATGATTGGAATGATAATAATAAAGAGCTTATAAGTAAAGAACATAAAGTAAAGCGACTGAAAGTAAATGGTTGGTTGTCTGCAATGGAGTGCAATGGCGAGCTCAGCTGCGGAGAAACTTTGGATCATGATGTACATCAAGTGTGCCAGTGCAACGGTAATACCAGTTACCTTCGGATGATGGCCATTTTGCTCTTTTCCTTTTGCCCCGGATTTCCATTTGCATTCTTGTTTATGATTCTACAGAGGAATCGATCTGTGCCAGGCAGCGAGGAACGCATCCTTAAGGAAAACAAGTGTGGAAATTCTTGATCTATGCCGCCCTACTACTACGCCTCCCAGCACCTCAGTCCGGCCATCAGGCATCGCCGCAGCCGGCCGTGTCGTCCTTCACCTCCAAGAGAAAAAGTTTGCTGAGTATGGTCGCTTCCAAGCACTCCAAAAATGTTGTTGAACACGTCGGACTTGGATCCCGTTGCCGTGAAGATTGTCCAAGCCTACCATGCGGGCATATTGAATCACTTGGCACAGATGGAGGGTGCCAATTGCCAAAGAACGAGGTCTTTGCCATGAACAATCGGATTGGGAGCCGAAAGATAAGGGTCTTTGGCACGGACATTTCACGATGGGAGCGCTGGGCTACGGAAGAAGAAGATTGCGAATTTCAAAATGCGTACCTGCGTGACACGTCTAGGGAAGATGCCCAGAAATGAGCTCAGACTAGATCAGTTTATGCTTTCTTTGGGTAAACTGAACTTCATTGTTAGTTAGGACTTGCTAGCACGACCTGAAGTCTTAATCTTCATTCTTCCCTCTGTCTTTCTTTTCTTTATGTGTTTTTATTTATACCAAAGTCAACTTCGGGACGTGCTCTTCCAGAACGGAGTTCCTCCTTTTAACCCGTCGTTGGCTATTCTTTCTCCCACAAGCATCATTAGCACCACTGCCCCACCCATCGAGCCTAAGCTAACAATGGAGGCGACTGGTCTGAGCGTAGGGAAGTCTGTGCTGAATGGAGCGCTCGGCTACGCCAAATCCGCGCTGGCGGAGGAGGTGGCGTTGCAGCTCGGAGTCCGCCGCGACCAGGCGTTCATTACTGATGAGCTGGAGATGATGCAGGGTTTCCTCATGACTGCACACGAGGAGCGAGACGACAACATGGTGGTCAAGATCTGGGTGAAGCAAGTCCGCGACGTTGCCTATAACGTCGAGGACTGCCTCCAGGATTTCGCCGTTCGTCTAGACAAGCAGTCTTGGTGGCGCCTCCCTCTGACGCTGCTAGACCGCCGGCGCGTCGCCAAGGAGATGAAGGAGCTTCGGGCCAAAGTCGAAGATGTCAGCCAGAGGAACGTGCGCTACAATCTCATCAATACCACGGGCTCCAGGCCCGCTGCCCCTGGTAGGCAGCCCAGCATCGCAGGTGTGTAAATCGCTATGTATCTATGTTTTTTCTTCATCTTCTAAGTAAACGTATCAAATTCGGGTTCACCCCCTTCCTTCGGATCTGCCGCATCCGGCTCTGCTCGCCTTGCAAGTCGCTCACCTGAATCGCTGCTTGGCCCGCGCTCAGCGGCACATCACCTCCTCTGCTCCTGTAGCCGCCTGCAGTCTCAGTCTCAATTTTATCGCGATTTTGGGGTTACTGGCCCAAGCGCGGGGTTGCTGACCAGGCCTTTAGGTTAATTTTAGGTTGCTTTCTTTAAACAAGTTTGGATCTCATTTGGAGAACAGTTATATGTTATCCTCTTAGTGCTCGATGAAAATATGTTGTAAAGTTTGGATCTCATTTGGAGAACAGTTATATGTTATCCTCTTAGTGCTCGATGAAAATATGTTGTAAAGTTTGGATCTCATTTGGAGAACAGTTATATGTTATCCTCTTAGTGCTCGATGAAAATATGTTGTAAACTGACGTGTTTCCAACTGAAACCAATGAGTGCCAATACAAGATGTATAGTAACCCCTTGTGAACTCGATTCGTATTGGGTAGTGAATCGTCGTGAACCAAGGAATTGCAGGTAACTATGCCTGTTCTTTATCCAGTTATTATATTAATTGGATTTGTGGTCATGTACATCACTTGATGCCCGGGGATGCGTTTTCTTTCATTATCCATAAATTTCTTATAAGTGAACACCGTGAAGAAACATGTGTATGTACTACCTCCGTTCCTAAACATGTGTATGTAAAGATTTCACTATGGACCACATACGGATGTATATAGAATTATAGATGCATTTAGAAACGGAGGGAGTATGTGATATTGGAGCATGCCTGGGGACTGATTCCTTCAATACAAATCATGTTCCTGCAGGTGAAATAAGCAAAGTAATCACCAAGTTCCCTATGATCTATCTGACCAAATTAATTAAGTATCTATAGTTCATATTCTTTTATGAGATTGTTTTAAAATGCACTAATGAACGTTGGAGCAACATTGATTACTCGATTCTTATTTGATCCATCGACACGCACAATTGCAGGTACAACAATGCTTGGCATTCAGGACGCAACGAAGCAGGAAAAATCAAAGGTGGATCTTGTCCAGCTGATAAACAAGAAGGGCACCGACCTAAGGGTGATCACAGTGGGCGGAAAAGGTGCTGATCTTGGGCAGACACCGATCATATGGGCAGCTTACGAGGATCCAGAGATCAAAAACAATTTTCCGTGCCGAGCATGGGTGAGGTTGATGCATCCTTTCAGTCCAGAAGACTTCGTTCAAAGTTTAGTGGAGCAGTTTCACACATCAGTAGGGGTTGACATTCTGCTGGAAACGAAAAAGATGGGGCAAGAGTTAGCTGAGGAATTCAATGGATATGTCAATGCCAAGAAGTTCCTGATTGTGCTTAATGACTTATCAACCATTGAAGAGTGGAATCGGATTAAGAGGTGCTTCCCAAACAATAAGAAAGGGAGCCTGATAATAGTGTCCACAAGGCAAGTTGAAGTTGCAAGCTTATGTGCAGGACAAGAAAGCATAGTATCTGAGCTCAAGCAATCGTCTATTGATCAGAATATTTATGCTTTCTATGAGAAGGTAACTTCAAAGTTCTACCGCTTGTGCTCTTCTAGTTCAGCCTTTGATTTAATTATAACTGCATTTGCATTTAAGTCATACTATTACTTATTAGTTTCTCTCTATTTGGAGATATATACATTAACTGTATCCTCATTGTCCAAGTTCAAAACTTAGACCACCAATAAGTCCAATAATACATACTCCCTCCGTTCCAAAATAGATGACCCAACTTTGTACTAAAATTAGTACAAAGTTGAGTCATCTATTTTGGAACGGAGGGAGTACATTATATGACAAAAAATTGATTCCACTGGATTCGTATTCAAAGCATTTTCTTGTGATGATGTTTTTAAAATTATTAACAAAAAAATTACAGTCAAAGATTGAATGTAGACAGTCAATGACCACATGTGTGAGAAATTAGTTAGGGTTTGCTTATCTGGCTGTTGATGATCTGTTTTCGTTATCAATAGCTAGCTATATACACATTGCCCCCCAGCAATATGCTGGTTAATAAAGGACAAGGGTACTAAGCATGTCGATTATTGTAGCACAATAGAAAACCATCTCAGTAGGGGTGGCGCATGTAGCAAAAGATTGAACATAAACAGTCAAAATATGTCATATATTTCTGAAAGTAAGAGATCAGTTAACAACAACCACATGAATGAGAGCGATTCATTAGAGTTTACCTTACTTGGCTACCGATGATCTTATGTTTTTGTTATCAGTAGCTAGCTATATACACCTTAGTTCCTAGCAATATGCTAAGGAATGGAGGCAAGGGAAGTAAACATGTTGATTATTGTAGCACACTAGCAAAACTATCCTAATTGGGGTGGCGACTGCAGCAAAATACCAAAGTGCAGTAGTTAAATTTTTGAAACTGCTTAACATATCTCGCTTGTGCCCAGGGTTCTCAAGATGGAACAGATTTAACGATGGTTGCCGGGCCTAGCTCAAAAAGTGCAGTCACCAATGGTACAGACCAATCTCAGGGTGCTGATTGGAATCATGCGATGAGAAAGAGCTTCAGTTGCGCTATGTCCATGACAACTGCTCTAGAGGAATCACATCTTGTTGGTCGAGACAAAGAAATGAAAAAGATCAGAGATCTTATTTTTGCTGAAGCTGGTGAACAACTTGAGGTGATCTCTGTGTGGGGAATGGGTGGTCTTGGGAAAACCACACTGGTCGGAGATGTCTATCAGCAGATCAATTGCAAGTTTGATAAGCATGCTTGTGTCACAATCATGCGACCTTTCATTCTTGAGGAGCTCTTTGGGAGCTTATTTATGCAACTAGATGCAGAATCTTCTGAAAAGAAGGATGTGGTGGGTTTGTTGGGCAATGCAAAGAAAGCATCACCACCGATGTCTCTTGCAGAGTTGGTTAATGAGTTGGCCAAGCTTATAGAAAAAAAGAGGTCCTTGATTGTTCTTGATGATGTGTCATCTACTGCAGAATGGGACCTGATAGTGCGAAAATTCCCTAAAATGACAAACGGAAGCCGGATCATAGTCACTACAAGGGAAGAGAATATTGCTAACCTTTGTTCAGTGAAAAAGGAAAACATATATAAGCTTGAAGCTCTGAAAGACAGTGATGCGCGTGTCCTCTTCACGAAAAAGGTGTGTGGATAATATAAGTTGTTCCATTATTTTTGAATTGAAATTGAATTATAGTTAAGCACATTGCTGCCTGCCATATCCATTGAAAATGATACTATTACATTTCAGAGGAGGTGATTGACCAGGCTATAAAGCATGCCGCAAGGTTACATATAAATTATACCGCGCATATTAGATCTCCCCTCCCCCGTCCCTCTCATGTTGCCTCTGCTCCCTGAGCATGTCCTACCTGGCCGTCTCACAAACCCCAACTATCCGCAGCTCCCGCGACCTACGACTGTCATGCTCATAGCTTATCCTCACTAGCTTCCAGGGGGGCATGGCAGAGCATCATAGCCATGGAGACAGTCAACAGATAGCTCATGATAAATGGACACACTCTGTAAAAAGGGGTTTTGTCCCTTTTATAGCTGCAGTGCAGTGCAGTGATGGTCGGCTCAGGCACGGTGGAGCGGCAGCACGGGCGTGGGCGGTCTCTGGCTGAACTGTAGCATGGAGGTTGGCTGTAACGGTCCTAGGCAGCTTCCACCAGGCTGCAGGTGCCTTGACCAGCTGGAAGTTGTTACGAAGCTGGGGGCAGCATCATTGGGGCAATGTGGCACCTGATGCTTCCTGACCAGGGCAGTGGCCCCAGAGTGCAGCCGAGGTGTGGTGGCAGGTGTGCATGTAAGGGATGTAGGGGCGGAATGATTGTCAGTCGACTTCTCTGATGCCAGGGCGGCGGCCCCAAGAAGCGCCTCGGTGGTGGCTCCAGGAGGCGGATCTCCGGTTTGGTGTTGGATGGGCAGCGGTGTTACCTGAAAGTACTGCAGGATCGTTTAGTGGTGCAGCAACATGGGTGGGGCTTTGTCTTTCCGGTGTTGACCTTCCCTTCAGTGTTACGGGCATGGCCGTTGGCACTTTTTCTAGTGGCATCAGATGCTGTTGCAAGGCGCGTTGGGCTGCCCTTAAGAAAGTTGGTTGAAGGTGGCTATTGTGGCACTCTGGGTGAAAGTAACCGTGTTTTCGATGCCAACGACAGTGGTACTCTAGGGCACCCTCATTCCTTGGTGGCATCGTCGTGGAGCCTCAGTACCCTTCTATCCATCCGGTCTAGTCCTCTGGGTGAAACCCAGATCTGGCTTTGCCGCTTTAGATGATTAGGATTTGGAGTTGTGATCCTCGGGCGGCATGCGAGTAGTTGTTGGCATTGCTAGCAGGAGTTCGGCAACTTCAGATGCAGCCAGTGTGCAAGCGGCACTGATTAGGATTGTGGTGACTTGTTATCTTTCACGGAGCTGGAAGGGCGTATGCCTGCTTTCCTTTGATTCTGGCTTCTGTCTTTTTTTCGCGAATACGCAAAGCTTGTGTGTCATTCATTGATAGGGGGAAGGGTTTTTGTACAGAAGAGGTTGGTAGAGGGCACTAGGACTAAGCGTACACAACGATTGGCGCCAGACCTAGTGCGATCATGATGGAAAATGGGTATGCTCAGCCCCAATAAAGCTAATGACGCCTATGGTATGATGATCGCTAATCCCTTGGCCCCTGCCTTGGCCCATGAGCGAGCCTCTTCTTGGATGTCATGGAGAAGCTTAGTCGTAGAGGGTGCGGCGCCGTCGAAGATTCTGGCTTCTGTCTCCGGTGTCAAGGTACAAGCAGGTGTTGAGGTGCTCTTTTTTTTTCTGAGGAGCTCTTTGTTGATGTGTTTGTATCGAATGGCAGTGCTCTATACCTAGTAGTTTAGTAATGGTACGGAGTTGTTGTGGATTTTGGCCCGTTCTGCTTTAATTGACTATGCTCTGTAAGATTTTTTGTTTGGTTCGCTTATAAACTGGATCAATTCTCCTCTGCTAATGGAATTGCAGGAAATCCCTACCCTCTCAGCGAGGTTTGCAAATAAAGATATGGATGTTACTAGACAAATACCTTGTTCAAAGTAAAATTTACTCCATTAATAAATAAACCTATCCAATGTTGTTTTTTTCCACCGATCTTGGGTGTATGTACTACTGTGGTTTTATAAACCAAATAAGCATTTTCCATGCTGTTTCTTGAAAGAAACGCCACAGCATTGTACCACATAGGCTCCAATAAAGAGATCAAAGTGAAGTATTATATTATATATAATATAAATTCTAGAGTACTGAATAAATTACACTCCGCCAATTTCAGGTATTTAAAGAGACTGCATATCTGGATGAAAAGCATCCTGAGCTGATTGAACAAGCAGAACTGATCCTTAAGAAGTGCAGTGGACTTCCTCTTGCAATAGTCACTATAGGTGGGTTCTTGGCAAACCAACCACAAACAGTGGTGGAGTGGAGGAGATTGAATGAGCATATTAGTGCTGAGTTGGAGATAAATCCAAAGCTTGGGACCATATTAGCTGTGCTTACTAAAAGTTATGATGGTTTACCTTATCACCTGAAATCTTGTTTCTTGTATCTCCCCATCTTTCCCGAAGACTACAAGGTTAGTCGGCGGCGTTTGGTGCGGAGGTGGACGGCAGAGGGTTACTCAAGGGAGGTACGTGGTAAGTCTGCAGAGGGAATAGCAGACAATTACTTCATGGAACTTATAAGTAGGAGCATGATCTTGCCATACCAACAATCAATTCGCAGTAGAAAAGGAATTGACGCTTGCCATGTCCATGATCTCATGCGTGAAATTGGCATTTCCAAGTCAATGGAAGAAAATCTAGTGTTTAGGCTGGAGGAAGGTTGTAGCCTGAACACCCAGCACGTTGTGCGTCACCTTGCAATAAGCAGCAATTGGGAGGGAAATCAGAGTGATCTGGAGAGCATAATAGATATGTCTCGTGTACGGTCAATAACAGTTTTTGGAAAGTGGAAGTCATTTTACATTTCTGATAAGATAAGGCTGCTCCGAGTGCTGGACTTGGAAGGTACCTCAGGTGTATTTGATCATCACCTTGAGGACATTGTCAAGCTTTTTCACCTAAAATACCTTTCTTTAAGAGGATGCACTCCTATTTGTCACCTGCCAGATTCTCTAGGCAACCTAAAACAACTTGAGACACTAGACTTGAGAGGTACACAGATAGTCAAGCTACCACATAGCATCAGAAAACTTCGGAAGCTAAACTATCTTCGTGCTGGTAAGGAACCCATGGACGAGGACATCTCGTATGAACAAGTTGTAGAAGACTTGCCAGCGGTGATGAGGAACAGTGCATGCCTTTTGACTGCCTCGTCGATGGTACTTTGTGCACGTTGTTTTGCAGGCTCAGATTTTAACGGTTATAACCACCGTGACTTGTGCAGTGCCTTCTGTTGTGTGGCACTCCCTGTTGTTGCGATGAAGCTGGACGCACATGGTGTGGTAGTGCCAAGAGGGGTGAGAAAACTGAAAGCCCTACACACACTAGGTGTTGTGAACATCTCACGGGGGAGGATCATTCTTCAGAACATAAGAAGACTCAGTGGGCTGCGGAAGCTAGGAGTGACTGGCATCAACAAGAGAAACAGTCTGGAGTTACAATCAACAGTTTCTCAACTCAGTCGCCTGGAATCCTTGTCGATGCGCTCAGAAGGGATGCCTGGATTATCTGGCTGCTTGGATGACATGCCCACTCCTCCAGAAAACCTGCAGAGCCTTAAACTGTATGGCAATTTGGTCATATTGCCTGCATGGATCCAGACACTCGGAAATCTTGTGAAGCTGAAGCTACGCAACTCTAGGATATTGGACCACAGAACAGCCATACAAGTCCTCGGGGAGCTGCCGATGCTAGCCATCCTGTGTCTATGGACGAAGTCGTTCGAAGGAGAGGTCCATTTCAGTTTCGATCAACGGGCATTTCCGAGCCTGGTGGTGCTGCACCTGGATCACCTAGATGGCCTCAAATCGCTGGATTTTTCACTGCGAGGGACACCTAAGCTTGAGGTATTGCAGCTTTCTGAGACCTATATCCAGGAACGTTGTAGCGGGCTTCAACACCTCCCAATGCTCAAGGAAGTTGTGCTCAAGGGAGACTACCCATGCGTCGAGAAATTGCGTGCCGACCTTGCCAAGTTCCCCAATCGACCCGTTGTCAAGTTGAACTGAGCTGGGCTCCAGAATTGATCATCTAGTCAAGCCAGTGTTGCTGTCTTATCATGTGATATGTACGTGGTGTATAATATTGCTTTCTCTTGTTGTACATCAATCTGAATTGTTTTTTTCTCTTTTATTTCGCTGGGGAATCTTATTTATTTCATGTGTTTAACTATGTGCTTGAATGTAAGCTGCATATAACTGTTGTGGACTTGTGGTATCTGGATTAAGGGCAAAGTACTTCTCTGTGAGCATCGATCGTGGTGACAATGGGTCTTTGCTCGTCTTTGTGCTTCTTGGGACCATGCATGGTGCTATTTTCTTTTCCCTCTTCTTTTTTCCAGTCCAAATTATGGTACTCCCTCCGATCCATAGTACACCCTCTGTAAAGAAGTGATCTAAACGTTTTTATATTTCTTTACGGAGGAAGTATTTATCTTAGATTTTTCTAGATACGGGTGTGTCTATGTACATCCGTATCTAAAAAATTGTAAGACAAGTAATATGAATCGGGGGTAGTAATAATTTCTAGCGTATCTTCAGTTCAGGTTAGAGGTTTGTTTTGGCACTCTTTTTGCGGGCACAGGTGGACGATCACCGAGCATGGATAGATACTGCAACTTCCACATTCATTAAACTAGTAGACTGCCCGTGCGTTGCCACGGGCTTTTAAAATTTGTATTGGTTGCATTTAAAATTTATAGATGGAAAATATAGCCAAAATAATTTTAACCTACTTCGCTTGCAATGTATTTTGATAAAAAAATGTAATTCTACCCTATACACAAAAGGGTTATCATATCTGATGCAGAAAATAAAGATGGTACACAAACATTGACCTCTTTATTGTGCGTTGCATTACAAATGATAACAACACTTGAATGTTTTTTTTACTTTATGCTTTAGATCGATTGTCTCGCGAAAGCGTGTGCATTGCTATTATCTCCATTAATTAAAATAAACACATGGATGATTTTGTTCCCTTTAAACAAATGTTCCAAGATGTTACAACCAGAAACTTAATTGCAATGTGCAATTGGCTAGCAAACTATTGCATATGAATTTGGGCACTTGAAACCATACAATTTACCATTTAGAAACTGCTGCAGCAAAACACATCTTCTAGAACATGCTACTCCTACCAATCTTGGGAGAGGTAGATACATCAATCTTTGATAACATTTATTGATTAAAAAATTATTGGCACTTATTTATATATTTATAATAACTTTTCAGTTTTATTAGAATTATTTAACTTCAGATTTGGTGTATCGGCTCAAAATGAATTTCACATAAGACTTGAAAGGAAATGTGTGTATTGTACTATGAACTATGATGTAAAAAGGAAGCGACCAACTCCTATACAAATACCAACCGGAGAAAAACCCCAATTGTACATACACTAAGACATTAACATCAAATATAAGGGTGAAACGGTGATTGACATGCATCATCTATTGTGAATAAGCAGGCTAAAACTTGCCTAGAGAATATTGCTCACAACTCACAAGTTTACAACATTTTTTTTCTGTAGTAGCACAAAAGTCGAATAATACATAGTAGGATTGAGGAGAAGGAGGTCTATAATATTAGTCTTACCGATTGTTCATTATTCTATTAGCAACTAAAAGAGAGGGAGGGAGGGAGGGAGAGAATCGGATCTCGAAATTGTCTCCATGTGTCTAGGCTATCCGAAAACCCAAGCCATATGTGAGGAGGAATGGGGTCAGGATCAGGCCAAGGAGTCAGAGGTGTGAGTATCATCTGAAAGCTTTGTGGATAAATAAGGACATAGAGAGCTGTTAAGTTCAAGGAAACAGTATGGCTCCCCTTACACAAAGTCTAAGTTCACCACCGCTAAATGTATAAAAGGGGAAAATACGCTACGAATAAGAAAAACAACAAATAAAGATAGAAAGGTGTTAAGTTCACCACACTCTTTATTTGCTTACTGGAGAAATAAGACAACATCCCTGAGAAAATTTTTAATTTTATTGACAAACGAATTCCTCCCGGTTCTTAAAAGAATGCCTATGTGGTTGACCTGGAAGGCATTCCATAACATGTATATTTGTCTCAAAATCAGAATGGATGATAGAATTACATCAAGCAGTTTGTCCATTTCGAATATACAACTATTCTAAGGAACTGTGTCAATAAATTCCCAAAGAAAATATAGCATCTGATTCCAGGAAATGTAATAGCACACTAAGTCATAATTGTGAATGCGTAGGAATCTGGAATTATTATTTCTTTAGAAAAATGGACAGAGGAAATGAGCACGGTCCAATGCAGGTTCTACATCTTATATTTTATGCGTGTTTTTACAAATAATTTATCAGAACACATAGGAAGAAGATATGTTTGAGTAGGTAACAATATGTTTTAGAAGATGATGGCTTCCTAATACTTAAGCACAAAACTGAACCTACTGAACCGTGGGGGGCGAATCGGAGGTACAGTAGAAGAATGAACAAATAGATTTTATTTATATTATCCACACCCTACATGTACAACAATGAGAAACTCCTCGTGAACCAAGCTTACAACAGTGAGCATTGAACAATCATACTCTCTTCTTGCTAGCCGGTGCTGAGAACACTCGTGCAGCAATTAGTATCGCAATGTCCTCCTAGATAGGTTGATGAAGATTGCCAACAATGAAAATATCATCTAGTACATAGGTCTGAAAATTTCACCATTGGTACTCATGGGAATTAGTCAGTACTAAAAAGAATGTATAACTCTTGCAACAAATTTCATACAACTTCATTGCTGGTTCTTCAATGTCAAAATTTCAGCATATATGTGAACATTAAATAGACTTCACATACCTAAGTAAATTATGAAAAACACTCATGTTGCAGTACGGCTCCAGTGTCCTCGTCAGTTTTGGTGCACCTACCACGTACTCACAGCTTGGGGCGCGACCCCTACATCCTTGGTGGCGGCCAAGGCGCCCACATCCACCTACATCCATGCTTCGGCAGGAACAATATAACAAAAAAAAGTATTGTGGACCAAATGTTTATGGAATTTTGCAGCATGATATAGGCTACAAACGGGTATGATAGGCAAGAATCCTCAAATTTCCATTGTACCATAATGTCTAGCTTAGGAATATTGTTCTGTATCTTCTTATTTGGCACTACACCAACATTTAGCATGACGTCAACGACCACATAACGCCTTCATCACCGGTTAGTGATCTGATCATGTCTCTTACTACCTGAAAGCACAAATATTAAAGTCTATTGTTAAAGATATATTCTTAACATGTCAATAAGAGGGAAAAGCAATATGGCAATTCAATGTCTCATCAATCCTGCTAGTTGGCAACATCCCAGGTGTTGATCAATTTTAAACGTAATCTTTAACTACAAGAACTACAGTACAATTCATCATTTTTTTTTCTGGGCATGTTTGCCCCTGAATAAGTGATAATACAAGGACAAACTTAAAGTATGCTAACGCGGTATAGTGCCATCAAGCATGGATAATTATCCAAGGACGAACTCATGTTCTGGCCATTTTTTACCCTAAACGATGCATGGAGCGACCAATAATAAATAGATTAGAAAAATTGTGCATCTCGCCACCACTCTGTCCATGTAGGGCGAGCGCTAGCATTGGTACCATTTATCTAAACTCTGATCACCAGTACGTACAATGATTAACACGAATGTTGGTGCAAATAGAACTCACTTGTGGTGAGAAACTGAATAAGTGTTGGCGAAGGGTTGCGGGAGCTCGAAGGGGTTGGTATCACTAAACAAGTTGTTATTCAGTACAACCCCAAGAAAACTTTAGAAATGATGTTTCTGTCCACCCACATAAATAAAGAGATAAATATGTGATCACGCGGCAAGCCTGATAAGCCCCTCTAAACCAATCACAAAAAAGAAAGATCAATATGTGACTTCTTAGTAATTAACAAACCCGGAGTTATTCTCTTCTGTCCACGGTCCGCCCGCTCCCCACCCGCGTTCAACCTCTCACGCCTCGTCCATCCGCTCCCAGCTTACTCCCTAGCTCCATGGTGCCCATGCTCGCCCATGTGTGTACTGTCAGCTAGCTGGTGGGACCAACTCGTTCGGCTCCGTCCGCTTGGTGCCCGAAGATTAGCACATGGATGCATCCACCGGCAGTACCACCTGCACATCAAAGAACAGTGGATTAGTTAGTACGTCAACAGTGATAGAAAATATAAAACTCACACAAATGGAATTTGCAGAAATCAACAAACACTAATCTGAATACCTTCTAAATCTCACATAGTGCACGGGGTGCTCTGAAAGTCTGAATATCATTGTGTTACAGAAACAATGTTCCTCTCTCAGTCTACTGGGTGCTCTTAGACAGGGCCACCTCATTGTCGACCGCTCCTGCATCCCTCACCCTGTAAAACCGGGTCATGGCTTACTCGGAATTCATGAATGCCCGTGCAGCGCCAGCGAAATAGCTAAGGAAATTATCGCCAACTGCATCGCCTTCCAGCAGATAGTCATTACGAAGGATCGATGTTGTTGCCCCTATTCCACTTTCAATATGATGCATCCAGATTCTTTTTACAATAATTTCTCACATGTTTCAATTGAATAATTTGATTATGCGAACCAATTAATGAACCCGAGACGGATTTTTATTGCTACCTTGAAGTCATACTGTATGTTTCAGTGGTGCTGCTTTTTCTTTAGGCAGCTTCCAGAACGAGTGATAAAGTTTTTTGGGCCTGCGTCGCAAATAGGTTTGGCCAGATGCTCGACGGGTTTTACGACCAACTATAGGAGTGTATTCATCATTTCCATTGGCATGACTGTAATTTGTGAATCAGAAAAAATAGAAAAGCAAACTTTAATGTAAAATATAAAACAAAATAAAAAAGAATCCAAGTAATTAGATTAGTAAAAATAAATACATTCGATTTGTTTCATCGATACAATAAGCACATCAGTAGGACATTATAATCATGGTATATACTTGCTTCCTTTTTTTATGACTAGTAAAATTGC